AATAACTTGCATATTTCAGCAATAATGTAATATGACCAATTATTACATTTGTTCTGTATTCATATGATGCAATATATTTGATAATGAAATAACTATCTATTCAAGACTAAACCTTCCTTCATGTAAATATAACAACTTGTTAAATATGAATTAAAAAAAATATAAACAAAAAATACATAAATTTTTTTTTAATTAAATATAATTTTGTGAAGACTACAATATTGGTAAATATATACACGTTGGGACAACATTAGCGTATATATATTATAATTAACCCGTTATCACTCGGGCCTTTCTTTTAGCCCCATACTCGTGAGGCATTTTCGCCATCCCATAACTACAAAATTAAAAAAATAAGATGTGTCAAGAACTACAAACAATGCCACCAGGGTAGGAACAGCGGACCAATCCGGGGCACTAGCTGCCGCTCGCCCGCTCGTTATTTTTTGAATATGTCAACTGTACCAATAGGATAGGTAGTATATTCCTTGGTTTCGCGGCAGCTGACGCGGGGGCGTCAGCTGTCACCTAAGGGATGAGGCCAGGAGTAGGGGCTGACTCAGGATTGGGCTGAAGAGCCCGCGCTGCTGGGGTTCACGGTTGAATATCACTTTGATCCCGTAACCCCGGCAACAAAGCGCTCGGAGGATACCAAGGGGTTTTAGCCGGTAGGAGTCGTGCGGGTCTCCCATGACGACGAAACAAAAAAAAAGGTAGTATATTCCTTGCAGTTAGTTAAGTCACATGCAATTTGGTCGGCATAAAGTTTTGTGTATTTTACAGAATAAAACAGCTTTAGGACATTTAACTCATACCATACTACCCCTGAGATCAACATAAAGTGTAATAATACAAGTAAATAAATTATTAATTTGTCTTTTATAACGGGTTAACTATGCTATTAAAACTTATTGATTAAATACACTATTGAGGTATATTTTGCAAGAAAATATTCTCTCCCGTACACTAAAATTAAAAACGCTAGAAATATTTTAAAATATCTTTCTATATCGAAAAGTAACTCAATAGCTTACTTAGTCAATAGTTTGTCTATGGACAATGTTTTAGCTAACGCATACTCAACGTGAATTGGATTCTTAAAGAAAAATGTACAAGATAATGTAAAAAAAAAAATTCTATGCTGAACACGATTTATGGCCCGATCGGTTAGGTATATTGGGTCGACATCATGAATTCTTTGCACAAAAACAATATATATATTATTATATATTGTTTTTTAATTAATGATAATGTAATGGTGCACCCGCCTGCGCTAACGGTTTACGCTGGCGGGGCACCAGTGGAGGATGATAAGATGAACATGAGATCAGGTCAGTTAGCCCATCCTGACAAATTCTCCAGGAATTTTTCATGATGGTTTCCAGGACAAACCGCGTGGAAGTCAACCTGACATGGTACATTACTAACAATTACTATTCCCCTAAAGGGGACTGTTAGCATGGGAGACTTTATACAATAAAGCAATCAATAATGTGCACTTGCTATATAAAAAAAAGAACAACACACTAGTTTTTTTGGTGGTTCTTCTTGTGATGAGACTGCTTTCCGAATGACTGGTCGAATAATCAAAGAACGACTAAACTTTTAAAGAGGGTGACTAGTCTCTACCATGTCAGGTAAAGCTCTACGCGGTGTGAGGGGGTGAGGGGGGAGAGAAAGTTTTCTTTTAATTAATCATAATAGAATTATCATCAATCTTTGCGGCCTAACCAATCGGCTAATAAATAGTGTTCATATATATATTTCAATAAATATTTACAATTTCATATAACATATACACACACGCTCCGTAAGGATGCGTTCACACGTGGCATAGGAACGTACCCGTCGACAATTACGTACAAGTTGAGTGTAAACGGGCCCTAAATTTCGTGACGTCACATTTATTAAAACAAAATTTAAATTAAGAACGAGAAATTTAAAAAGTATTTCCAACTTAATGTGTATAAATATAAGGTTTAAATCAAAATCCAATATATCAAAGTATTCAAACACGAAATTTGAAGACCAAAAAAACTTCAAAGGTATTTCCAATTCTATCTGTATACACATAAGGTTAATTTTCAGTTTGCTAGTGTATAATTTTAAAATGTGACGTCACAATAGGGGGTGGGTAGTCTTGCAAACGTGACAACTACGGGGGAGAGGTTAAAAAGGATGAAATTGCGTAACGAGATTTGTGGATGGCCCTTAATGGCAAGTAATAGCAACATACCCATAGTTCATACTTTGCGATTCAGCTCAAACCTTCCAGATATGATAGTGTAAATGAAGATTAATGATTCTACTATATAAAACTATTTAATAAATAAACTCACGTATTACTATGTAAATTAGTATTTATTGGGACAAAGGCGCTTCTATCGGGGGCTTAAGTTGCAATAAGCAATGCTGTTAGTAATAATTCTGATTTAAAACGTATTTATAATGACCTGTTGATAAACTGTACTTAATTCGAGGGCTGGCCTTGAAGGCGTGGCCTCTTAGGGCTATGATAGATGTAATATAATCCGGATCTACTTAGCTTTTGTGCCGTGTAATTACTGGCTATTATTTACACGCCCGCCCGTCGCAAAGCTATTACACTCGTTATGATATTCTTTTCAAGGATTCACTGTTGACTAAAATCTTCATTACATATAATTTTATTCAGGGCTTGTCATAAATAAATCGATTTTTCTAGAAGAAAAATTATTTAGTTACTTAAACGGTGTATTTAGTATTCGACGCCCTCGGTGGTCTAGTTGTTTAGCACACCGCTTTACTTCCAATGGTCGCGGGTTCGATTCCTCGCACGGCACAAACATTTGTATTCATGAGAATGATTTTTTGTATCGGTTTGTGTGTTTCTATGTATAATATGTATGTTACGAAAAGTATACACATTTGTATCAGTTGTCTAGTACCCATAACACAAGCTTTAGCTAGCTTAACTTGGGTCTAGATTGCGCTGTGTGAATTGTCCTGAGATTATTATGTATGGATCATTTCAAAATGCTATTCCTACGTTTGCATCAGCAACTTTCAAATTGTTCATATAAAATCTTAAACACATATTTTTAATCTTACAATTTAGAATTCTTAGTCACTGCGTCACATAATTATGGCATAGATTCTGAATCGCTCTTTAAAATTATAATACAATTATTGAAACCATATAAGAATAGGTACATACAATAATGATTTCGAAATAATGCAAAATATACTTTAAATTCAGTTCCATGTGATCTATATTTCTACTAATAAACTATTAAACTCTAGAGATACTGCGTTATCAAATTATAAGAATAGATATATACATTAATGGTTTTCAAATAATGCAAAATATACTTTAAGTTCAGTTCAATATGGTCTATGTCTCAATAAAACTGTGAATCTTTAGAAATACAGCATTAGCAAATTATAAGAATAGATATTTACTATAATGGTTTTGAAATAATGAAAATATACTTTAATTTCAGTTCAATATGGTTCATATTTATAATAAACGATTAAACTCCAGAGATATAGCGTTAGCAAAGTATAATGCAAAATATACTTTAAGTTCAGTGCAATGTGGTACATATTTAACTAACAAATTTTAAAGATACAAGGAGTACCAAAGTAATTATGAGTCTGTGTGAATAGTTAATGCAAAACAAGTGTATTTAGTTGCGCAAAAAAATATCCAATTGGGACATATTAGTGTAGGAATAAAAAAGGGATATACTCTATCCATTGTAAAAAGAATCATATAAATAAAAAAAAAACAAGAATATATTTGAACAATGTCGATAGTATATTGCTCAACTTTTTAATATCGGCGTTTGTATTGGGCAAGTGACTTTTGTACGACAATGTATGTATTTATATAAAAATATTTTAAATTAATTCTATCAGTGGTCTAGTACCCATACTGCAAACTGTGCTTAGGGACTAGATGGCGCTGTATCTATGATCCAGCACTATTTATCAGTACACAAGTTCCAAATCAGTCCTTATAAATGTTCGTATAAGTACTATAGTCTGTTTTTTAATCTCTGAGACGAAATTGACAGGTGTAAATGTCAAATTTTTAATTAATGTTGCCAGCTGTAGCTGCACCTACGATACCGATTTCATTTAATTGTAATTTTTTATTTGAGATGATTACTTTTAAAGTTTGTTAAAAATTTCTCATAATGTATTTTTAAATTTTACGTATTATTATGAGCTTTCAATAGTGACACAATACTATTTAAGAATCGCAAAAAGTTGGCAACATTGGCAATGTCAATTTTGCCAACTACTACTTATAATTTGTTTTTTAGCTCAGAAAGCTGAAAAACAAATTATAAATATTAATATTGTAGGTATGAACAAATACAGATAAGAGTATATAGATAATCTGGCAACACAATTGATGTTTTCGTCTCGTGAGATGAAAAAATCGACTATAATGTTAATAACGTCGTATAAACCTGCTGAGCGTCGGGAGAGCGTCCGGAGAGCGGCCGGAGAACGTCAGGGGAGCGTTAGGGGAGCGTCAAGGGAGCGTCAGGGGAGCGTCTAGGGAGCGACAGGGGATGCGGGCAGCGGTCACTGCCAGAGGCCGGCGTAGTTCCCGACGGGGGGTGCGGGCAGCGGTCACTGCCAGAGGCCGGCGTAGTTCGAAGATGCGCGTACCGCTGTCGTCGTAGCAGTGCGTGTAGATGGCCGGCACGTACTTCACCTGGTTGAACCGGCGTCCGCCTCCTCGTCCGGGAACTGCGGGTACCCGGCGGGGGGGGCAGCGGTCACTGCCATACAGTGCCATCCCAGACCACGGCTGCACACGGCGGGGGTGCGGGCAAGATGCCAGAGGCCGGCCCCGGCGGGGGTGACACTACAGCGTTCCCGGCGGGGGGTGCGGGCACAGCCAGGAGTTCCCGGCGGGGGTGCGGGCAGCGGTCAAAGGCGATGCGGGGGGTGCGGGCACCAGTCCCGGCGGGGGTGACACCGGAGGCAGTGGCGGGGGGTGCGGGCAGCGGTCACTGCCAGAGGCCGGCGTAGTTCCCGGCGGGGGGTGCGGGCAGCGGTCACTGCCAGAGGCCGGCGTAGTTCCCGGCGGGGGGTGCGGGCAGCGGTCACTGCCAGAGGCCGGCGTAGTTCCCGGCGGGGGGGGCGGGCAGCGGTCACTGCCAGAGGCCGGCGTAGTTCCCGGCGGGGGGTGCGGGCAGCGGTCACTGCCAGAGGCCGGCGTAGTTCCCGGCGGGGGGTGCGGGCAGCGGTCACTGCCAGAGGCCGGCGTAGTTCCCGGCGGGGGGTGCGGGCAGCGGTCACTGCCAGAGGCCGGCGTAGTTCCCGGCGGGGGGTGCGGGCAGCGGTCACTGCCAGAGGCCGGCGTAGTTCCCGGCGGGGGGTGCGGGCAGCGGTCACTGCCAGAGGCCGGCGTAGTTCCCGACGAGCGGCGCGGGTAGAGGTCCGCCGGCTGCGAAGATGCGCGTGCCGCTGTCGTCGTAGCAGTGCGTGTAGATGGCCGGCACGTACTTCACCTGGTTGAACCCGTCCGCCTCCTCGTCCGGGAACTGCGGGTACAGTGGGGGGAATACAGTGCCGTCCTCACACCACGCTGCACACGGGAAATACGACGCATCGCCCTGACACTACAGCGCACAGTGGGGGGAAACGATGCACCGTCCTGACAGTACCATGGGCGGTACCTATATTGAAAGAAATACAATGCACTGGCCTGACCAGTATAATGAGAATTACGCTTATACTTAGGGAATAACAATGCAGTACAAGGCAGTCAGGCAGCAAGTAAAAAGCAGTAAAAATCTGACTGAATGAATATATTTAAGAATACACTATTTTTAAATATGTTTGCCCTCATCAGTACTACGGGTGACGCCAACATAAGAGGGAAATGCAATGCACTACCCTAACAGTACCCGAAACAATACCTACAGTTCAAAATTCATTAACATAGAGTACTTTTTAGCCGAATACAAACAATATTCAACTAGACCAGTTTCTTTAAAAAAAATGGTAAATCTCATAAAAATACTTACTACATAGCCTCTGGAAGCTCTGAGCGTGACAGTTTTCGTTGAGTGTATATTGCTTTCTAAATATTTACCAGCCCTCAGGTCGTAAAACATGAGGAGACCTAAAAAGAAACATAATTGTTCAATGAATGTACACAGGTAAAAAACGCACGCGGTACTTTATTGCATTCCATAATGATTACAGTTACAGGTTGGTACAGGTTGTACTGTACATTTAGTTGATACTCAATTAAATGTACAAAAATAAACAACAACAATAATAACAAAAATCTTCTATACTGTACATTTAGAGGAGTATCAACTAAATGTACAGTATAGAAGATTTTCTATACTTTAAAATAAAAGGCTTAATCAAGAAGACAATCAGTGGTATATTAGCCACGAATTCGTCAGATTTGAATTAAAATAAATTAAATTTTATTTATTAGTTAGCATTATTGACCTGAGCTCATGCCAATTTTGTCATCGTCCACTGATGTCCCGTCAGCGTAAACCGTTAGTGCAGGCGGGTGTACCATTCCATTAACATACATAAAAAAATAGTATAAAAGGGACACCGCGTTAAGAACATGACGATGTGATAAATTCCTGGTGAATTTGTTAGGGTTAGGGATGACCTGACCTGTTATCATCCTCAAATGATGCCCCGCCTGCGTAAACCGTTAGTGCAGGCGGGTGTACCATTCCATTAACATACATAAAAAAATAGTATAAAGGGGACACCGCGTTATGAACATGACGATGTGATAAATTCCTGGTGAATTTGTTAGGGTTAGGGATGACCTGACCTGTTATCATCCTCCACTGATGCCCCGCCTGCGTAAACCGTAAGTGCAGGCGGGTGTACAATTCCATTAACATCCATAAAAAAAACCAAAGTCTCTCACCAAGGCCGGTCCCGATGGTGAGCATATGCGATCGGAAGCTGGCGGAGCGGATGCCGCAGCCGTTGTACCGAGATGTGATCTTCTTCACAGACTGCAGCGTTCTACAGTCCAGCAGCAGCGTGTACGATTTACACCCGATAGCGTACACCCCCGTCTCTTGCTGTGGAATAATTCAAATTAAAAAATCATTTATTCACGTAGGACATTTTAGCCGCTTAGGAACGCCAAGTTTTCTGTAATTAATATTTTTTCCCCTTATCATCTAAGTTCATCATATAGATACATTAACTGCTAAGCATAGTATAACTACTAAGCAACTGATAAGCAGATCTTGTGTTATGGGTACTAGACAACTGAAAGATACTTAAATACATTTTTTTAATAACACAGGGGACTAACGGGCATGCGGTTCACCTGATGGTAAGTGATTACCGCCGTCCATGAACAACGTCCGCAACATCAGGAGAATTGCAAGTACGTTGTCGGCCTTTTAAAAAGGAATAAGCGCTTTTCTTGAAGGTTTCAATATCGTATCGGTTCGGATATACCATTGCTGGAAGGTGATTCCACAATGTGGTTGTGCGTGACAAAAAGACATAAATCATATATGTATATGAGAATACACACAACGGCGGATCCAGCTTTGGCGCCAGGAGGGGGTCACTTAGTCGTGGTCATGGCGCTAGGAGGGGGTCACATAGTCGTGGTCAAGTCAAGAACTTATAATTTAATTTTGATAATAATATATACAAGTAAAAATTAGGTATTTTAATAAGGTACAAAGTTATTATATTATATTAAATTAATTTAATATTGAAGGTATGTAGTTACATAAAATCTGTATGGTGTCAAAATATATAAATGAAATCATTATGTTCAATTAGTGGTCCACCTAAGTATTGGAACCAGCTCAGGGAGGGGAGGAGGAAGGCAAGGGGGTCATGACCCCCATGCCCCCCCCTGGATCCGCCGTTAAATACACATCTGTACCAACTTGTATTTATTTACAATAACATTTATTCAAAATAGCAACATGCAGGTTTTTGTTCGTTCTTCTTGTAATGAGAAGTGGTAGATTTAAAAAAAATACATATTATTTTATTCTACCATTTTTCATTTCATTAATTAAGCATATTTAAAACTTCTTACATTGAGTTTATTTAAATAAAGATTATTATGACTATTACTTATTATTTTATTTATTTATTTATTCTTTTGCACACAAAAATGTATACATGGCGGACTTAATGCCTGTGATAAAGAAGATATACAAAATAATACATATATATATATAAGATTATAAAAATATGACTATTACATTAAATTATAAATCTGATATCTAAAGTATGACACTCATTAATACAAAAATATTGGTATCGTACCATGGATCGAACCCGCGATCATCGTAAGAAAGAAAGAAAATAAGACGAAGTGCTAGACTGGTAGACTACCGGGGTCGTCAATGGTTGTGTTAGTGGTGAGTACCTGCGTGGCGAGGCAGACGAGGTCCTGACAGGACGGCAGCTTCCGTGAGAGAGTCTGCCGGAAGGTCTCCGCGTTGAACACGTGTATGTACCCGTTCAGCGTGAGAGCAGCAATCTCCCGCCACCGGGAGTTGAAGGTCAGGGCGCGGACTTTCTGACCTGGACAACCCATCACAAACATTCATTAACAATAATAATTTCCGGACAATTCACACAGCGCCATCTAGTCTCAAGCTAAGCATAGCTTGTGTTATGGGGACCAGACAACTGATATAAATAAATGGATGCATTTTTTTGTAAATAAATACATATTATACATAGAAAACAACCAGACCGATAAAAACAATCATACTCATGAATATAAATGTTTGCACCGTGCGAGGAATCGAACCCGCGACCATCGGATAGTAAAGCGGTATGCTAAACCACTAGACCACCGAGGCTGTCAAAATATAATGATAAGCAATGTATAAATTAACAATTGTCTGTTGCATGTCAGAAATGACTACATATGAAAAAAAATTAATTTCAGGGAAGCTGGTATAAAAATAAAATGGTGGCAGACCTGACTTGCAGTCCCTGGTGGCCAGCGGCGCCACGTATGCGTGATGCGGAGCCGGCTCGGCCGGAGCTCGCCATAAGGCCAGCCGGGAGTCGCGTGATCCCGTCACCACGAACTCGTCGTCCAGCCAGCACAGGTCCAAGATCTGACCACCACACCACCATCATCACTCTCCAATACCACCACGATATATCATCATTATACGTCATACTCGTGAACGAGTGCTGCTTGTCTGGACTGGTCTGCTCTAATCACTATGAGTGATTGATTTTGTGTATTTAATATTTAGACTCTAATAAATTAATGCTAGTTACTTTAACATTTCAAGTAAAACTACAAATAAATATATATATAAATCGACGACGAGAGAAATGTTGATTGTCGCATGCCTAATCCTTATTGTTAATTAAATATAATTAAATCAATATTTATTTAAAAGAGCAACACACGAGTTTTTTGCACATTCTTCTTGTGATGAATCAGCATTCCGAATAAGCGGTAGATTAAAAAAAAACTTGACTATTCAAAAGTGCTTATATTAAGTTTATTTGAATAAAGATTATTTCTATTTCTATAGAAAAATATATTACGCCGACACGAAATAAATGGGATAAGGAAGAAGCAGATGATGATATATATAATCGACGGTTGCCGCTAACCATCAGGTAGGCCGAAAACTTGTTGCCATTCTATTAGAATTATATAAAAAAAAATGAGCAAGTGAGATTGTTTGTTTATTTCTTCCATTAAAATTTTGAGCCTTTCGTACTACTTCAATCGGGTGCCTATATTAATAACTTCCTAAACATTACTTTCCATTTTCCACTTTGCTTCTTTCATAAACTTATTTAGTTCCATGTAAAGTTTGTTACATTATAAATAACCATTTCAATCATGCCAGTGAATGTGTAAAGCTTATAATTATTTTATTAAAGAGTAAACGCACCCAGTCTTTGTGTGCCTCCCCCACGCAGACGGGGTCCAGCGTGGGGAGGCTGTAGATGGCCAGCTCGCACGAATTCCGGGCTCCAGTTGCCAGCAACGTCCTGGAGAAGAATAATAGCCATAGTACGTTGTTTCTGATCTGAACTTTCAAGGGATAATAGTGAAATAGAGATGAAATCAGTATTTGACAAATATGTGGCCCTGAAGGCTGATCTTGTACACATTACTTTGTGAAGACCTATGTGTTAACAGGGATAGACTATAGGAAGTTGTAAATGAGTCTGATCATTGTAGAGACATATATGAGTCTAGGCGTATGTTCTCTTTTCTCTCGCCATTAACATCTTAACGTCCGCATGATGCCAGCAGTGTGCGCTAGAGACGACATAATGCTTCCTTCTCTTTCCGACATATATTCGTGAACGAGAGCTGCTTGTAGGGACTTGGTTTGCTCTAATCGCTACAACTGATTTACTCCTATTTAGTTACTCAAACAGTTGGTTGTGTATTTAATGTTTTGACTAATGAATTAGTGCTATTTGGTAATTTCAACTGGAACGCAGCGTTGTAATGTCGTCCAGCGTGGGGCACAGCATCAGCTGGTGACAACGAGAGGTACTCACTTGGAGGGGTTGATCTGCAGCGCGTGTATGCCGGTCTGGTGGTCCGCGCCGGGCCAGGGCGCGCGCGGACGAAGCGTGGGGATGGCGTCCAGCGTGCGACGCCGCACGTCGTACACCATCAGCTGCACACACACAGACTATTATACTATTTTTTTATACTACGTCTATAGCAAAAGGCCATACGGCCCACGGTTAACGGTTACAGTAGCATATGGAACCTAAAAAAGTAAAACGGCAGGAAGAGTCCATCTGTTGAGTTTATTTAAAATCAAGTGTGTTGAAAAGCGTCGTACTATATACGTGCGCATTTAACACACTTGGCTTTATTACGTACAAACTCATTGCAACTTAAATTAGTACCAAACATGACTTGCCTGTCCGACAACCTCTGTGACATTTACAAGTTCATTTGTAAAGAGCTGAGTTTCTTGTCAATTCTAGCACGAAAGCACTCAGAACTGACGGTAGGTTTGAATATCATAAAAGTCTGTAATAGACCTACATGAATATAGATATTTTGATGCTCTACCTTATAACACCAGCTCATTAGAAAAGTATAAGAGCTGAGTTTATTGTCAGTTCAAACTCTAAAGCACTCCAAACTGACGGTAGATTTGAGATATCATAAGAGTCTGAAATAGGTCTACTTGATTAATGTTTCCATACCTTATTGCACTTGGTACCGAACACGACCTGCCTGTCCGACAGCCACTGTGAACAGAACACCTTGTTCATGTTGCCGAGGTTGACGGCCGTCTCACGGAACATGTCGTGTGTGAGCATGTGCCGAGTCGCATACGACGGGTCCACCGAGCGCGGCTGCAACAACAATTTACTTATTTATTACCACGGGTCCACCGAGCACGGATGCAACAATTTTTTTATTAACACGGGTCCACCGAGCGCGGATTCAACAACAATTTATTTCATTTATTAACACGGGTCCACCGAGCGCGGATGCAACAACAATTTATGTATTTATTACCACGGGTCCACCGAGCGCGGATGCAACAATATTTTTTTTATTAACAAGGGTCCACCGAGCGCGGATGCAACAATATTTTTTTTTATTAACACAGGTCCACCGAGCGCGGATGCAACAAAATTTTTTTTATTAACACGGGTCCACCGAGCACGGATGCAACATTTTTTTTATTAAAACGGGTCCACCGAGCGCGGATGCAACAACAATTTATTTATTTATTAACACGGGCCCACCGAGCACGGATGCAACAATTTTTTTATTAACACGGGTCCACCGAGCGCGGATGCAACAACAATTTATTTATTTATTAACACAGGTCCACCGAGCGCGGATGCAACAATATTTTTTTTTATTAACACAGGTCCACCGAGCGCGGATGCAACAACAATTTATTTATTTATTACCACAGGTCCACCGAGCGCGGATGCAACAATTTTTTTATTAACACGGGTCCAACGAGCGCGGATGCAACAACAATTTATTTATTTATTAACACGGGTCCACCGAGCGCGGCTGCGACAACAATTTATGTATTTATTACCACGGGTCCACCGAGCACGGATGCAACAATAATTTTTTTATTAACACGGGTCCACCGAGCGCGGATGCAACAATATTTTTTTTATTAACACAGGTCCACCGAGCGCGGATGCAACAACAATTTATTTCATTTATTAACGATCACAACAATATTCACAATGGGAAAACTTCATATTTAATTTAGACGAATGATCGCCTATTAGTCAAAATTAGACCACAATAAAAAATACAAAAAGAACTATATACGCGTGTGTGCAAAATAGATGATTGCGTGTAATGGCTATTTTATTGAGTTAATGTATTATTTATGCATACTGTGACATTATGGAATTCAATGTAAAAATAAATAGATAAATTTAAGAGGCGCAGTTTTCTGTGTATTGCCATACACATATTATTCAGCTTACTTGCCTGTTTATTTTTTTTTTCTGTTGGATTGTTTGGGCTATTGTCAGGTGCCTAGCACCTGTAGCCCTGCGACCTACATAGATCTATTGTGCTCGCCCTTTTTCAGAGTTCGCTACCTAGACCCTTCAGGGACAAGAATTGAAGGATATTCCTAGGAGCGATGGTTTTAATTTCCTCGGAAAAGAGTGTGAACTTTCCAAAGGAAATATATCGTTTATGCATGAGTGGGCTGTTTACTATACGAATTATATGAAAAAAAAAATCAAATGAGAGAGAAAGAAACAGTATTTAGGAATTAAGTATGTGATTTTATGCAAAAATCTCATGCAATCTAGTGAAATAGTAAATGAGTCATGAATTCCAATCAATACAATAGATATTACAAAATGTTACATCTTCTGGTTTGAGTATATAGATAAACGAACAAAAAAACCATCTGATAAGTTTATTATTATTTGACATGTCATGACAGTTTGTTTCACACGTTACAAACATATCACAAGTTAGTTTTATTTAAAACAAGTGACCCGTCCAAGATTCGCAAGGATTACAAATCTTAAAATTTCTCGGCTTGTTCTATGCTTGTTTTACACATAAGTATTGTAAGGGCCGGCGCTAGGCTCCTCAGCGCCCGTATGTAATATATAAATACCACCTAGCGTGGTTTATGTACCGTATTCATAGTTAAGTTACATTATTTATTAAGTATTGTATAGATTCTATATTTTAATAAAATTATAGTATACATCCGAATCCTGTGATGGCGCCCCCTTCGACGAGACGATCATGCAAACCATGCGGAGCATGCGTTGCATGCCCGTTTCCGCCGGCCCTGAGTATTATACATATAAACTTCCTTTTGAATCAGTCTATCTATTGCTGAAAATTGCATTGAAATCCGTTGCGTAATTCAAAAGATATAATCGACAGACAGCGGCGGCAACTTTGTTTTATGCTGTGTAAAGATAGTCATCTTTTAACACTATAAATCTTCAAATAAACATGTAAGAAATTTGTAGATAATATTGACACTACTATTACTGACATTCTTTTATTACTGAGATAACAACTTCTTTGTAAAATAGCATATATACACACATATGTCAAACTAGCAAACCGCCCCGTCTTCATACGGGCCCAATATTTTAGATCATCTTTTATTAAAACTAAGATATCTCCTAATGTGTTAGTTGAAATTAAATGATGTAAAGACAAAAACACTTTTGTTCAATATTAAAAAAATATAATAAATAACGTATTTGTTTGAATAGGGAATAGTATATGTTTATAAAAACACCTTCGCAAATAATGCAAATAAATGCAATAATAAATTTTATTATAATAAAAATAGTTTGTTTTAGAAATTTTAACGATGAAACCCTTTTAACAATGAGAGAATTTTTAAAATGTTAAGATCTGGCAAACCAGAGATTAGAGACCCCAACAAACAAACATACAAACTTTATCTTTATAATATTAGTATAGAAGTATAGGTTTTGAACTTGCATAACCTTGTAATTTTGGCTCATCAAATACATTTTAAGTGAATATAATTAATAGATAAGATTGTATAATTGTTTGTGATTATGGAATGATGCACCCGCCTGCACTAACACTAGTTTACACTGGCAGGCACTGTGGAGGACGATAAGGTGAGCAGGTATGTCAAGTCAGGTGGCCTATCCTGACAAATTCAGCAGGAATTTATCACAATAGTTTCCAGGGGGAACCACATGGAGGTCAACCTGATTTAGATTGATAATAAAAATGTGTCTGTTTATTCTTGTTAATGTATGAAACTGAAAGACAATTTTGAAGGATATTTCACTACCATTATTTATTTAAATAAAAATATTATGTTTATTATGTGCGGACGAATCGTTAATACATAAAAAAAAATATCAACCCAATATATAATAATAATAATTTAAAGGGAATGTTGTGACTTCTCTTTCACTTTTAAAGATAAGAGTTCAAATCTGGCCAACAAACTTAAAGAGCAAGTTGAAATAAGTCACAGCTACAAAATTCTACTGTGCCTCTCAAACCATGATGTTGGGGAAACCTCTGGTGGAAAATCACCAAAATTGGTGGGACCGCTAACCGCTCATAAGATAGGTTGGTAACCGTTCTCCAGATGGGCTAGTAGCTCATCAGAAGGGCTATGTGTTTCCTTGTCACATAGTACATATATTGGGGTAAAGAGGATTTTTAGTAATGTGGACTGATGACCTCATTGCAATGCACTATGTCAGGTTAACCTTCATGCGGTTCTCCTTGGAAACCATGGTGATAATAATATAAAAAGAACTGTCTAACCTCTGGCGCCATGATTTCCCTCGAGCGCACATAGTCTACAAAATTGTAAGATGTGGAAAGTATACGGTGCTGCTGTGTGGGCGTTTCCTCCTCACTGTCACTGTCGGAGTAGCACACAAAGTCTTCAGGCTTATCGGGCTTCCGTTGTTGTTCCAATCTGAAAGCACAAATATTTCCAATATATTTTATTGAATTAGTTGCTGTTTTCAAGACTTAAATGTCAGTCACGTGGACTGATGAGCCTGTACAACAACAACACAGTTTCTACATGTGTCACCATCCACTTCCTAGAATCCTTATCACATGGCATGTGTAACATTAGAAATGTAGCTGCATCTTCAAGCCATTGTTACCTGCAGCTGCACTTAAAAGCGACACATGTAAAATTGTATATAATGCTGAAATATTTTTACAATAAAAACACTTATATTATATCTCTCAGCTGTATCATTACAAGCTTCCAGATTCTTAACAAAGTAGGTCATAAGCCTAACCCTAAAAGGGTGTATATAGACACCTCTTTAAAACCCTAGTGCTAGCAATGTACCATATCAGGTTGACCTCCATGCAGTTTCTGGTGAATTTGCCACAATGGGCTAACTGACATGACCTCAGGCTCATATTATCATCCTCCACTGGTGGAGACATACCACATATGGGTGAACCATACCATTATTTTGTACAGTACAGTTTAAATTTAGTACAGTCATTTTGCCTCTATCAAATATAGATCCATTACATTAATTACAGGAGAAAGAGTGGTACGGATTTGTACAACTAAATCAGAAATTAACTTCATGATCAGTGATTTTTAGGACTAATAAACTAGATCAATATTAAAACAATTTGTACTTATAACATGGATATAACAATTTGTTTTGAATAACCATAACCAATGTCTCTAGTACATAAAAAAAGATATATATAAAATACAATAAAAAGATAGTATTAGTAAAATGTGGAATTATATCACTTAAAACATTTTTTACTTTTAAACACTGGTATCCTCACCTCAGAGCCCTAGCTTTGGCTCGTCTTTCTTTTATTCTGTTCGGAATATAACAAGAAGGATATCTGCCTTCGATGGCGCGCCTCACGGTCTGCGCCATTTTCCAGGCAGAAACTTAAACTAGGAACTAAAAATTCGCCGATCCACACGGCACGGTCACCAAATCACTTTCGTTTTGTTCTGTTGTATGTAGATCCGTAAAGAGAAGACATCTTTCATTTGAATAATGGAGTCCGTACACCTACAATCTCTATTTGAACACCTCATTAACTAATTGCACATGTTGTAAAGTTTTTATACTAAAATATATTTTTCAAATATTAATGCAGAAGATTTCTTTATTACTAATTTATATTATTTTAGAAAAAAACAATGCTGACGAATGACGGAAGGTTGACTGTCAATTAAATTATTTTTTAATGCACAGCTTTACGGCTTTGGATTCTATTCAGTAGTGGTGTTGTAAGACTTAAAAACAGTTGCATATCAGTGTGACCATCCCAAATGTAATTTTTTGCCAAAGATTGTGGTAAATAGAGCCAAAGTCTACACAAAGGAAGTTTACAAAGTTGAAGATTTATTATTCATGTGATGAAATTAGTTTATTTTTCATCATATATTACTCTTAAATTAGTATTTCAAACATTATTTAAATCTTAATATCGAATCATTCCTAATGTAGAAAATAATAATATTACAATATATGGAATATGAAATTTTAATTATTTACTTAAAAAATCAAATATTGTATCATTATCTCTTTTATATCCACCTATATCACTTTAGAAGAAGGATAATGTCTTTTAATTCATGCTCTGAATTCTTTTTTTAATAAAGTATATAATAGTCTGCAAGGTAAAATAAAGGAACACTTAACACGGACTTCATCAGTTTCAAAATTATACGGCAAAGAGGCTATAAAGTTAAAAATCTCCCATATTATGGTCACACTGTACCACAGATAAGTTATTAAGGAGGCCAAGAGACAAGAACTAAAGTTAGGCATAAAAATAAAAAAAATGAAATCAAAGAGAAAAACAAACTTTGTTGGATTTTTTTTAATCTAAACGGAACCGATAATAAAATAAATCACTGCACATGTTATTAAATGTAGTGATTACTTGCTCAGTGATTTTATAAGCAGTTATCCCTTTATCTAAAAGAGCTGTTTCAGAACAATATATTTTTAATGATCAATATAATATTAGTTAGATCCTCGTATGATTGTTTTGCCCTGTTATTTGCCTGCTTGCCACCCTTTTGTTACGGCAATGGATAAAATTTTAACCAGTGGGCTATGCGCAATTAATCCTATTTTAGAAATCTAAAGCGGTTTTTATAACATGTTCTCTCTTAATGTGTAGGAACATTAAGGTTTTAAAATCTGCGTCAGCAACGAATATAATATGTAGATACATACTTACTTATCTAATTACCAACGACCAACCTACGGACAGAAGACCATTGGTAATGGAATTTTCTTGTGATTTTGTCACAATGACCTAAATAACATGATTTTTTAAAAATATATATATTGGCAATGAGGAGTGCAGAATGACTATTTTTTTTAATTATGCATAAAAAATAAATCAAATCAATTAAAAAAATAATTACAATCTATTTTACATTCGAAGAAGTTTTTGTTGAAATTACCTGTTGTACGGTAGTTTAATTATATGTACATTGACGGCGAGATAAATTAATATGGATACAACAGTTTACAACTTTTTTTTTCTTCTTTTTTTGGTTCCAGCAGTTTTCAACTTATATTTTATTGTAACAATTTATGACATGTCTATTTATTTTTCTGTACAAAATTAATGTAGGCTGCCAGTAACTGTCAATCTGCAACAGTTTTCGTATTTTTATTATGTTCGAATTTCGATCAGTGGGCGGGGCCACTTTTTTTTAATGGATGATTATAAGGGAATCGTGCACCCGCCTGCGCTAACGGTTTACGCTGGCGGGGCCCCAGTGGAGGATGATAAGATGAGCATGAGGTCAGGTCAGTTAGGCCATCATGAGAAATTCAGCAAGAATTTGTCACGATGGTTTCCAGGGGGAACCACGTGGAGGTCGACCTGACATGGTACATTGCTAGCAATATGATCATCAATCCACATTACTAATAATTCAATTTCCCCCTACTGGTGGCACTGGGGGTACTAGTTGTTATAAATACTTGGTAAACAATATATTTTATTTTATTTTATCATCCAAAACAATACAAATTGTGTAGGATAACACGATTGTAACATTACAGTAAATTTTTGTCAACAACATAATATGAACTTAAATATTAAATTTCTGTATGTCAGCTATCATAGTGCAGTAGGTCCTCATAAGTCTTTATGTCCATCATTATAATAGTTATCTACGGAATAGTAACACTTATTCAATAAAATAGTATTCAATCTGGTCTAAACAATGTGAAATTATAAATTTTTAGATGTATTGGTAAATTTCAGGGCAGTAATCTTAGAACAGATAGTCAGATATATTTAATCGAATTAGGTGTTATTTTGAGGAAGTCTATTTCTCTACTCGATGGATTTATATATTTAAATGACATAGATAATATATAAGTGACAGTTATGAAGCGATAGTCTAGTATCTATAATATACACACTGCATACATTGTATGGACAAATTACCGGCATCAGTGTGTAGTATATATTATATGGAGATGTATAGCTTCCACACTCATTCAGTCATTCAATCATTTATTTAATTCATTTTTTTTGTGTGTTCAGTTAATTCATTGATTTCTTATTTGGTTATTTTATTTTAGCGCAAGCCAATACTACATACTTTGTGTTAATTAAGTGTAACCTATAGTAGCTTTAATATTACAACATACATTAATGTAAATTAAATTGTAAAGCCGTTAGTTTCTAATAAATAAATTAAAAAGTAAAAAAAAAATTACTTTGTTTAATTCCGCTATAATTTATTGAGTCATTATTGAGTCTACAGTTCTACACCCATATCGCAATGCGATATGGATGTAGACTCAATAACAGTTGGAATTTGATCGCCACTGGAGAAGGTCGTAGCGCTGGTCAGGTTTCCACACCGAATATTTGTAGGCTCACACCTGTTAATTGTAGCGGAATTAAACAAAATAAAGTAATATAAATCGATCGAGTAGTAGATAGTCAGATGCAATGTCATTGTCTTGATGTCTGTAGTACCTAGACTTTGCACAAAGTCGGCTGAGTGTGTACATTAGGTCATAGGTAGATAATTACGTCAGGCGATATCGATAGAAATGTAATACTAGCTATTATCCGCGACTTCGTCCGTGTTGAAGGACGTTAATTATAAAAAAGCCAATTTAGACTTTTACGAATTTACTCCTAATAAATTAAGTTACTTTTTATACTATTGGCTACTGCGAGCAAAAGTCCTGTAAGAGTCGGACCAGTCGGTTTAGAGATTAACAAAAATAAACAGACAGACAGATAGATAGACATTTTTTTTATATAAAATTTTTGATATTCTAATCAATCAGTTGAATTGTATATACTTATGTTGAATTGTATATCCGTCATACTCGTGAACGAGTGCTGCTTTTAGAGACTGGTCTCCTCTAATCAGTACGACTGATTCACTCTAATATAGTTCTCAACCAGTTGGTTGTATATCTAATACTAGCTGTACCTGCAACTTCGTCCGCGTGGAATTTAACTTTATATTTCTAAAATATAAGTAGCCTAAGTTACTCCTTATTACGTCAGCTACCTGCTAATAAAAGTACCGTCAAAATCGGTCAAGCCATTTCAGAGATTAAGCGGAACAAACAGACAGACAGACAGACAAGAATTATAAAAAATGTTATTTTGGTGTATGTACCGTATTTATATTCATGTGCTTGTAGTAAAAAACGGTTATTTCAATATTACAAACAGACACTCCATTTTTATTTATATGTATAGATTTACTGTATTTGAGTTTTTAATTGAATTAGTGCTAATCGGTAGTTTGTAGTCACACACTTCAACTTAAAAATGTAACAACAAAATTTTTTAAAAGGCTACATGCAGGATTCTTCATATTCTTTTTGTGATGAATTTTATTGAAAAAAAAATGTAATGAATATTCAAAAGTGCTTCAATGTAAGTATATTTGAATAAATGATTTTCTATTCTATTCTTTTTCTATTACATCCAACACACACCATGTCGTGTTGCCATTAAATATAAGAAGAAAATTTTAGTTACCAATTATTAGTGTACAATTTTTAGTTCATTCAAGCCGAATAATGGGTAAAACTAGTTTTAATTAATAATTCAACACTATATTCATACCACATCAAAAAATTACACTTCAATTCAATTAAAAAAATATATTTCTATTAAATAAATATCAACAATCTCACACATTTATGTAGGTACATATATCCATCAAGGGTACAAAAAGTATGGTTTAATTCAGAACAGGCATTCAAAAAAGAAATTAGCTTAAAAACGCCCAGCTAATTAAAGTCTAAAAAGCTATTTGGAAGTTAGTGCCGAAATGTATTGCAATGCAGGTAGGGTTGCCATCCGACCGGGTTTCACCGGATTTGTCCAAGTTTAGACGGCCTGCGGGGAGCGTCCGAGGTAATGTAATGTTTTTAGGTATAACATTAAAGTATATTAATAATTTGTGTTTTATTTTAAGAACAATAAATCTAATTGTATGTTAAAATAATTCATAAAAACCTGTAATAAGATTCTGTTTTGTTAGGTACATTTAAAATGATGATAAAAAATGACTACATTTCATTTTAAGGTCTGACAATAAATAAAAAGTTGATGATATTTTTAACTGTTTTTATTACACTGACTATGTTTAAAAAAATCTGTTGTCATTTTCGGGTTCTGGAATCTAAAATTCGCGTTTTGTCCTGGTTTCCAAATTTTAGAGATGGCAACCCTAATTGCAGGTCATATGGCGCCTCGCTAGCATAACTGAGGTCACTGACACACTGTTACAATGCGGATTGAAATTATTTTAGCTAGTTTATATAGGTAGATTTTGTTTTATGTGTGATAATGGAATGGTGCATCCGCCGACGTTAACGGCTTGAGCTGGCAGGGCACCAGTAGAGGGTGATAATGAGCATGAGATCCGGGACATGGTACATTGGCAGCAATGGAGTCAACAGTCCTATAGGTCAACAGTATTAGAAGAGTTAGTAAAAAACGCACGAGGTATCACAGGTGTTAAATGATGACGTGATGCCCAGCCCAAAAGGGCTGTGCCCCATGCTTGTATATATATTTTTTTATGGATGATAATGGAATGGTGCACCCGCCTGCGCTAACGGTTTACGCTGGCGGGACACCAGTGGAGGATGATAAGATGAGCATGAGGTCAGGTCAGTTAGCCCATCG